GAAGGCCAGGAGGGGGGGAGGAGGGCCAGGAGGACTCCACCCTGAAATGGTCACATTGTGTTTTCTGCTCTCATGTAACATCCATTGTTCCCGGTCATCGGGTACAGGCCGCACCCAGAACAATGTCACCTCAGGAGGACACCAAGCGGGGCATCGCCCGGGGCAGATCATCTCCGCTCTATGGAAGGCTTGTACAATGATTTGCTCTATGGAAATATACCGGCTCCAGGAAACCACAAAACCGGCCGAACAACTCCGAGCGCACAATAGCCGGAGGCGCCATGATTGTGGGCGGAGCCTCACTTCTACTCAACGCCTTGAAAACCATCAAATGGGGTGATTGTCCCTCCATATAGAGGACTGAGGGGTACGAATAGGGGTGATTGTCCCTCCATATAGAGGACTGAGGGGTACGAATAGGGGTGATTGTCCCTCCATATAGAGGACTGAGGGGTAGGAATAGGGGTGATTGTCCCTCCATATAGAGGACTGAGGGGTACGAATAGGGGTGATTGTCCCTCCATATAGAGGACTGAGGGGTATGAATAGGGGTGATTGTCCCTCCATATAGAGGACTGAGGGGTACGAATAGGGGTGATTGTCCCTCCATATAGAGGACTGAGGGGTATGAATAGGGGTGATTGTCCCTCCATATAGAGGACTGAGGGGTACGAATAGGGGTGATTGTCCCTCCATATAGAGGACTGAGGGGTATGAATAGGGGTGATTGTCCCTCCATATAGAGGACTGAGGGGTATGAATAGGGGTGATTGTACCTCCATATAGAGGACTGAGGGGTACGAATAGGGGTGATTGTCCCTCCATATAGCGGACTGAGGGGTATGAATAGGGGTGATTGTACCTCCATATAGCGGACTGAGGGGTATGAATAGGGGTGATTGTCCCGGGGGACACGTGAGGCTTTATGAGGTTCCAGTCCCTGGATTGCCCCTCATACAGGACTCCAACTTCTGTGACCGGCCCTCGGGGGACCCCGGAACACAACGTATGCAGACCACCAGATGGCAGTACACGCGGCGATTTCCAAACCCCGCCCCCTGCTGGAGGTATAATAGAGACGCTGAGCATCAGACCTCCAGAACCCCCAAAACCAGAGAGGAAGGGGGGG